GAACTGTTGCATTATTGCATAATTCCAATTAACTAAGAAATACAAAATGTCTTACGAGGCAAACATTGTTTACATCTAAATATAACTTACAGTGTAACCAATAACATATAAAGTGCTATAAAACTTTAACCAACTCCCAAATCTTTAATCCGAACAGCTAATTATAACGATCTACCGATTAGCGAATATACAGGGTGTTTCAAATCCCTGTGCCATCTCTCGTGGGGAGATTCCTCTGATTTTGCTTTGTTTCGTAGCTACAGGGAGTTAAAGTATTCAATTTTTTTCGATTTCTTATAATTTTCCAAGCGATTTTAGCAAATAAAATGAAATTTTGAGGGTAAAAGTTACTATAAATGCGCCACATTTTAACGATAAAAAAGTGTCGACAGATTTACCGAGGGAGGGGGATTTAAGGATTTGTCATTCCAATAACTTTAGGGCAATCAGAACATGGAATTGAATAGACTACATTTGATCTACTGAGTCTAGTGAATAAAAAGTTAAGATATTATAAGTTTAATGACAGACGGTTATGTTATAGTAGAATGTTAAGGAGGGGTGTTAATCACCGCGAATCTTGAGTTATAACGAGTTATAACTCATCATACAGTCCTAGAGCTGTGACAAAAGCTAGTATCTGGGACGGCCCCATTAGCGTAACTAGCAATTTACCCTGGGGTGGGCCGGGGTGTGGGCCTGGGTTTGAACCCAAGGGGGGCCTAGGGCTCTTGTTTTTGTTAAAAATAAAAAATAACTTTAAAAACACATTTTTTGAGTAAAACGTTTACATGAATTTCTCTATTAATAAATTTCATAGACTTGGTTATCAAACCGTGTTCCCGTAGATTACTTAAATACCTACAAATTTTATAAAAAAATTTATAAAAACAAAATTTTTGAACACAACAAAATAATAATAATTGATTAATAATAGAAAACGTCATTTTTACTACATCACAAGCAAATAAAAATTAATACGTAGCCAAGAGTCATAAAATTCAAGATTTCTCTGGGGGTGCCCAGCAGTACCTGGGGGGGGGGGGGCGGTACCCCCAGGCACCCCTTTAGTTACGCCAATGGACGGCCCCATCTTCATCTCCGACATCAGCCGTACCAAAGTTTATGGCACAAACGGTTGTCGTCTAGGCGCACTCAGTAATGAGGTGTTCTGGTGTTTTCCCATTTTCCATATAGAATCTGCATTCGCCGTTGTTTCTAAGCTTCAGTTTACTGAGGTGTTCGTTGAGGAGACATTGTCTTGTTAGAAATTCCATGACAATTCAAAAATTGTTCTTACTTAAATCAAGGAAAATATTTATTTTTTTTTCAAAAACTTAAAAACTTTGGAGGATTCCCTTTCCAGGTTGCCGATGGTGTCTTGAGTTCCGTTTCCAGTTTATTGAGTTCCGCTTTAAGTTGGTTTCCACTTGGAAAGCAGAACGGTTCTGGTTAAGTTAGTAGAGTGTTTGCTCCTTTTCTAGCTAGATAGTTTGCTTTTTCATCTCTTGTTGAGCGTGCACCTAGAACGGGAGAACTTTTTTATTTTCTTTTTGAAAGGTTGCAAATATATGGTAAGGCAACGTAGGTGTTGTTTTCAGTATTATTTTTTTTGGTTTGGTTTGGTTTGGTTATTTTCAATAGTCTCTTTAATTTTTCTCATTACAGCAACTCTAATCTGCGATGATGTTAAAGTAATTGCACGGTCCATGAAACCAATAATGAACTTGGTTTTTGACTTTTGGAGTGGATGAAGAAACTGTTAAGGTATCTGCGTGGCCAAGTAGGTTTTGAATACTCTGGTATATACGACTCGCATGGAAGACATCGACGGACGATGACAAAAAAAGGCAGATGTCGTGCCAATGCATTTATTTTCTAAAAAAATTATAATATTTTTTAAGTTATCAATGGATAGGCTTATATTATACAAATCCGTCATGCGTCGTCTCTCGTCTACGTTACAAAAATGACAGATCATAGCAGTGGCGGATACAGAGGGTGGGCCATGGGGGCCGGCCCCCCCCTAAAATCTGTAAATTGGGTTTGGCTTTATATATTATATATTTAAATATTAGGCTTTTGGGTTAAAAATTACGCACTAAAAATCATATTCTACATTACTTTTTATTTGGCCCCCCCCTAAAATAAATTTCTGTATCTGCCCCTGGATCATAGTTCCATATGATTGGAGTGACGGAACGATGAACGACACACAAACGCATATGCCTATGAACTCGATTTAAGATTTTTGAAACTTGTCAAACTCTTGCATAATGTCAAATAAGCAGCATTCTAGAAAATGATAAATATTTGCAAATTGCTTTTGCATTTTGCTTAGTGTTATTACATGTGTTTTGTGATTTTTTAGTGTTAAGTGGAGGAAAAAATCCAGGGAAAGGTGTACGAGTAGACCCAGAGAATTGTAACAGCCACCAATAAATTTTGTATGCCATCTCCATGCAGGTTGTTAATTTGTTTATTACTTGTGGCAGGAGCTTTATTGTTGAAATATGGCAACCTCGGCCCGCTCGTCGATAGACGACGCGACGGACGGGACGAGTCGACAGAAAACCCTATAAGTGCATGCGTTCTCAAAAGGCAGTGTTGCCATTCTGTTCCCCTATAAGTAATTGTCGAGTTAACAACCTGTATATGGTACTAAAAACTAAAGTAGTTATAAAATACAGACATCACACGATAGGGAAATAATAATCGATTTTAGTATCTACAGTAGAGAGATAAGTTCAAAAGATGCTGGTTTAATTTTTTATGTTTAATTCATTTCGATATCATTTTCTTACTGTTACGCATATATTTTGTTTTCTTCTGCCTTAATAATTATTTTGGAAATGTTTCTCAATTCCTGAAGTTTTCAATGGCAATGTTTAATAAAATTAAAATTAAATAAATCTAATTTCCTCAGCCCGGAACTCTTCTTGATTGACGTGCACTTCCCATTTTCACTTCAGCTTCCAAGCAAGTATTCTAGCCGGTATAATTTATTGAAATTTACCAAGTTTTCCGATTGGTGGGGATAATCACTGGTTAGAACTAGAAGATGCATTTTTTTGGCTGATATATCTTTATCTTAACTTTGTGCTGTATTTTATGGGATTTTACCTGACTGGTAAGATTTTTGGATCGCCATTTTGTCTAATGTAATTTGTACTATTTAATTTTTTTTAACAGGGAAAGCCTTTCTTTATTTTTTTGTTTTCTATTAATTCATTAATTTTAAAACTTTACAATTTTAAAATAAAATTTCTTAAAAGGAAAAGCGTGGTAAATTTTATTTTAGCGCCTAACGTGGGGCTCCATAAATATTTTGTTTTTGTATTTTTAGAAAGATTTATTTACTTGATAACATATACCTACCAAATATAGCTAGTTAAGTTTTATACAGTGTGTTTTTGAAAAAAACATGTGCCATCTCTCGTGAGGAAATTCCTCACATAAAAATAAAATTTACTTTTTATATCAACAATCAACATAGATTCTGCTTTATTTCGTTGTTACAGGGGGTAAAAATCTTCACTTTTTTCAGTTATCATAATTTTTATTATTTATTATAATTTTCTAAGTGCTTTTAGAGATTCGAATGAAATGTTGAGGGTAAAAGTTACTGTAACTGCTACATATTTTAATGCTAAAGAAGTGTCGACAGATTCACCAGGGACGTGCCTATGGGTTAATTATCCCTGGAATATTTTTCTAAAAAGAAATGTGCGCCACTGACTTTTTTTCTCTTTTTGTTAGCAAAACTGTATAGGCTGTTTAATGTCGATTAATAGTGGTATCTTGATATTTTGTCAATTTTGATCTCTTTCGTCTATCCTTCGTGATAAACACTATTTTATTACTCACATTTCATAAAATTAAAATAAAAATAAAATTAATAAAATATTAACTTAATCTATTTTTTATTAAATTTTATTAAAATTCAGTGCTACCTACAGCAAGTTAATAAAAAAATAATTGTATTTAAGATAATTGCAAAAGATCTATTTGTTTAAAGTTTTAACTGCCTGTAACTTTAAAACTAGTATTTCTTATTTAAATATGAGAAAAAGTTATAAGAACTTTTTCTCATATTTTTTGATGAGAAATCATTAGTACCTACTTATTTAACACTTTGGTCAGTAAATGACATTATTTTTTTTTATAAAGGTTGTATTAGACTTGGATTAAAGCAAATTAATAAAACTGCCTTATCTCATGAAGGAGACCGAAATCGACAAAATATCAAGAGACAGCTTATAATCGGCATTAAAAAGTCTATACAATTTTACTAACAAGATAAAAAGTCAGTGTCGCACATGTTTTTTCTTAGAAAAATATTCTAGTGAGAACCTGTATGCACGTCCCTAGTAAATATGTCGACACGTTTTAATCATTAAAATATGTAGCACTTATATACCCTGAAAATTTCATTCGAATCGCTAAAAGCACTTAGAAGAAAATCATAATAAAGCGAGAAAAAATAAAGACTTTAAGCTTCTGTAGCTACGAATCAAAGCAGAATCGGACCAATATTTTATTATTTTTACGTGGGGAATCCCCCACGAGAGATGGCACATACTTTTATGAAATTTATTTAGAAAAACACTGTATAGCAAAGAACAATACAAATAAAATTTGATTTATAAATGTAGTTAATTTGTGTTTACATAAGTATATATTAGAATATTATAATTTTAAAACAAATTTCCTGTAAAGGACAAGCGTGGTAAATTTTGGCGCCCAACGTGGAGCCCCATAAAAATCTTGTATTTTATTCCGATCAGTACCTTGAATTTTGTACCCGTAGTACCTGTCTCCACTTTGTTCTTTATTGAAGAAGTCAATTTAGCTGAATAACATTTTTTCTACTGAAGCAAATGTGACTAATAAACTTTATCTAATAAATTTAATTGTGCGATATTTATTCCCTCCCGGAATATAAAAGTTAATGCCTCTAATAATAAATATTCTACCAAATATATTGACTGATTAAGTTTTATATAGTAAAGAACAATATAAATAAAAGTGTATTTATATTTTCTTTAGTCTTTGAAACTTAACACTACAGTATTTAAGGTAAAACATTTTATATTTTAATATTTTATTAACAAAAACAGTACAAAACTTATATTAGAACAATAAAATAACTTAGAGCTAACTATACAATGTAACAGACTAGTGAGGAAATAATAATGCAGGTAACAAAGTCTTAGTCTTGTGAGAGAATTAGTCGTAGCCACTATGACCTCCTTCGCCACCACCACCGTAGCCGCCTCCGTAACCGCCTATTGACCCGCCATCCGATATCGAATTTCCGTATTCTTTAATGTCTCCACCGATGTCATGTCCACCTCCGTAACTCTCCAGCCCGCCGGCATCTCCACCATAGCCTCCTATGTCACCTCCACCTCCGTAACTTCCAAGACCACCGAGATCGCCACCGCCGTGACCTCCGAGACTGGCCAGATCGGCTCCGCCGCCTCCGTGTTCCAGACCACCAAGATCACCTCCTCCTATGCCTGCTTCGAATTTTCCTTCCACACCGCCACTCCAGTCGTGCCCTCCTAGCGATAGGCCTTCAGAATGTCCACCGTCTGCACCTGAAAGAAATAGATTGATATCTTTAGAAATTATTCATGTTAATATTCTGCAGATAAAAATAAGTAAAAAAGTTCGTATAAATGTATGTCCTAAAGTGGCTTCATTCCCGAGATACATGGTGTAGAAGTTTCGTTTTTATTTCAAATTTTTTCCAAATAATTTCTGAACTAAAATCGATATTTGGATGAAAATTGGTGTCTTTTGACATGAGAAATTTGATTCCGATGTCGATATGACTCCTACTTGTAGAAGGCGTCACTTTTTCACTGTTTTGAAGAGTAATAACTTTTCGTCCATACTTGTATTACACCACCGAGTGAATAAAAGACATTCCAACTGTAATGATACATTCCAATGATTCTCAAGATCTATGGAATTGAAATAGTCAATACTGTCGTCATTGACAAAAATTAAACATGTTGGCTAGAGAGTTATTAAGGAGTTGTTAGACTAAAATAATAAATCTTAAATAATTTAAAACGATTTATCTTAGGTATAGGAACATGTATAATCAAAAAGTAACGAATTGAAAAACCTTTTCAAAAAAACGTTTTCTTCTTTTCTGATTCACCAGAATATTCTGTAATTCATTTGCTAATTGTAAACAAACTTCGCGAACACCTGGTTTCAATTTTGTTTTAACCATTTTCGTGTCTGCGAAATCACCACGTTAAAATGTTTGGACCAACTGAATACTGAATGTAGCAAAACATGAAACGTGTGAATACAAACGTTGATTTTTATTTTTCATTGATAATGAATCAGTCAGACTGCGTCAGCGAAACTGACAAGTGAGAACCCGCCTTTACATTACACACATTTTTTTCATAGTTTTTTTCTTCGTTCAAAAAATGTATTTATATTTTCTCAAAAACTGTTAATGTTATATATGTATAGAGTATTAATTATTAAAATGCATAAAATTTAACAAATAATTTAAGTGCATAATAAAAAATATTTAAAATAAGAAAGTTGCTGTCATGTTCCTGTATTTCCGGAAATGGCGTCATATTGAAAATATTTTAAATCGATAGGTATCGTTGTGAAATAATCATGCATGCTCAGTCTGGGATACCCTGTATATCCTTAATTTCAATAAAGTTATGTGACAATTTCTGTGAGAACCAGCTTCATCACTTTAATTTGAAGAAGCCACATCGCCAATTGAGCGGAATCATGAAAAACTGAGTTTAGGTAATATATCCTTTTCTATTGTAAAACCATTCTCTGGCATTTAGTTTTAGTTATCTGCTGATGATACTAACATGGTTAAGAAAATGCGCGTCCGGTGTTAAAAGTAAAGTGTTTTGGTATATTGCGATAAATTAGTGTTGAGAAAATAAATGAGGGATACTGAAACATGTTTAGGAACATTTAATAAATTTGAAGAGGGATTAATACATAAAGCTTGGAATTATACAAACATGAATTTCACATGAGTTATTATACACTAAGGGGCAAAAAACAAAAAAAACGCAACGGAAAAAATTTTCGTGTTTTTTTAAATTTGTTTTATTTTAAAAGTGTTATATTTTTTATTTTTAGCCCTATTTTCATGATTTTTTTAGAAAATTGTATATAAATATATGTACTTTAATTAGTAAACTCAATTTTCACAACCTTTTGTATTTGAGACAAAAAACAAAATGCTAAGGTGTTGCTACAGCTAAATACAGGGTGTTTTAAAGTTATTGTAAAATATAACCCTTCGATTAACTCCGGGTAATAAGCCAAACTTTAAAAAAGAACTGAGTTTAGGTATATTATATATAGTCTGTTAAAAAAATCACAAAAATAAGGCTAGAAATAAAAAATATAATACTTTAAATTTAACGAAAAATTTTTCCGTTGCGTTTTCTTTGCATCTGTGTGTAGATTATTAAATGGATTTTGGACATGTTAAATATTAGTTTTCAGTTAAACATCAATCAGAACCTCAAAATTAGTGGTTTCAATTATACAGATTATACTGTATGCTCAAAATTTTATGTTGTATTTTATCATATACAATCAGTGGCGTAACAACAGACTCACGGGCCTGTGTGCAAAAATTTTACCGGGCCCCCTATTACACCTAAATATTTCAATACTTATATACTAATCTGAATAATATGCACTCATATTTTAGGTTAGAAATAACATTATCAAATTAATTTTTATAAAGTATTATTTATTACTGCAATACAGAATATGTAACCCAAAACATATAAAATATCAAATAAATAAATAAAAACAAAACAAAAAACAACAACAAAACTAACTAAATTAAAAGTAAGTAATAAGTTATTTTTGCGATAGCGTGTGCTAGTTAAGTAGTTAAGCAGACATGTGATAGATAAGAACTTAGTTCGGGATCGCCCGATTCTGCTTGATTCGCGGTAGTAGGTGATAGATATGGAAATGCGGCCCGTGTGCTTCGCACACACTGCCCATCGATAGTTACGCCACTGTATACAATGTCTAAATAATATAATTAAAATCAATAGTATATCCTAGCAACAGCTTCCGGTAGTCAGTTGAATCTCCATGGAGAAAGCCTAATAAATAATTAGCTTATAAAACAATAAACTTTTCATTTCTAACCACAATTTCTCTTGACGGATGACAATCAAAGGCTAATATGGCATTTACTCCCAAATTTTGAAGTATAATTAGTGGCAAAAGCTAAAATTTTGTTAACTTTTTCTACTATATACTAAATGAAAATTGCTACCACTAATTTTGACGTTCTGAATGCTTACGTTAAAATTAGAGACGCAAACTCCAACGCTAATTGAAACCACTAATTATGAGGTTCTGAATGAAGCTTTATAGTTACCTTTAGTCTTAGAAGATATGACCAAGGACATGCTTAAAGGATATTTAGTAAGGTAAGGCAGCTGACGTTGGTTGTACCCCAGCATTCTCTCTGTTTTCTTCAGTGACAAGAGGGGGCTCGATAGGTGTTAGTGGCACGACAAATATTACAATGTTGTAGGTATATAAAATGAAGAAGTGGGAAAATGAAGTGGATTAAACGTGATTAGAATTAATGAAAATGGGGAAGATTGATGGTTATCTACCTCCGTGCCAGTATCCATGATCTCCTCCGATGCTGAAGCCTCCGGCGGGTATTCCTTCACCTCCGTGACTTTCGTAACCATGGCCTACGCTGACGTCGCCATCTCCGGAATAGCCGATTACTTTGTAGCCACCACCACCACCGCCTCCACCGCCTCCTGCGTGCTTGTAGACTGTATGCGTGTGGTGGATTGTTTTGACATTATATGGAACGTGTATGATCACCTTTTTGTGTCTAAAAAAAAAGAAAGAAAAATTATTTTTCACTGTATAAATTACATTACAATCTTTTTTAGACAGGGTATTTCAAAAAACATGTGCCATCTCACGTGGGGAGGTTACAACTTAAAAATAAGATTTATTTTTCATATCAACATGGGTCCGATTCTGCTTTGTTTTGTACCTACAGGGTGTTAAAGTCTTAATATTTTTTCGATTTATTATAATTTTCTTCCAAGTACTTTTAGCCTTTCGAATAAAATTTTGAGGTCAAAAGTTACTATAAATGCGACATATTTTAAAGCTTAAAAAGTGTCGACATATTTACCAGGGCCGTGCATCAATGAGCACTTATTTGCTCATTGATTCCTCATCAAAAATATGAAAAAAAGTTACTGTAAACATGGGTATGGAAATGCATAGTTTTAGAGTTACAGGATGTTAAAGCTTTTTAAAATTAGGTTTTTTGTAATTATTTTAAATATCATTATTTTTTTATTTTGAATTGCTGTAGATTGTACAGCAATTACAGTAGTAATAGTAATAATAACTAATAGTAATAATATTTAATAATAAATTAGGTAAACTATATAATTTATTAATTTTATTTTTATTGTAATCTTATTAATTGTGATTAATTAAAAAATTTCGTTTATCTCATCAAGGAGGCCGAATTCGACAAAATATCAAGATTTTTTTAATTGACAATAAACGACCTATACAATTTTGATATCAAACGAAAAAAATCAGTGGCGCACATGTTTTTTTTTAATATATCAGTGATAACCTATATGCACGCCCCTGATAAATTTATCGACACTTTTTTAGCATTAAAATTTGTAGCACTTATAGTAATTTTTACCCTCAAAATTTCATTCGAATTACTAAAAGTACTTGGAAGAAAATTATAATAAATCGAAAGATTATTAAGACTTTAACACCCTGTAGCTACGAAACAAAGCAGAATCAGACCTATGTTAATATGAAAAATTAATTTAAGTTTTAAGTGAGGTATCTCCCTACGAGAGATGGCGCATTTTTTTTGAAACACCCTGTATAAACCCAGATGCAAAAAAACAACGAATTTTTTTTCGTCAATTTAAAGTAATATATTTTTTCTATTTTTAGCCTTATTTTTGTAATTATTTAGCAAACTGTATATAAATATGTATCTACGTTAATTGATAAACTCAGTTTTCTATAAACTTTAGTACCTATTCAGCTTAATATACAGGGTTAATCGAAGAGTTTTTTTTACTCTATCTTTAAAACACCCTGGTGCAATAACTTCGAGAGCAAATTTTCCTAAAACATTATTTTTTGGTCAGAATCATGTCTTCTGAGCATTTTGTTTCTCGGTTCATGTCAACACATGTCTTTTTTAATTTTTAAGAGCGAAATGAAAGTACCGCCAAAAATTTGCACTTTTTTTAATTATCAATACCTTTGGATGTTATTGTTAAAATAACGAGGTGGCTTAGGTGATTATTGTCGTAATATCATATTGACATTATTTTTATTCAAATAAAAAACGACTTATTAATTCAATTACTAACATGTATATTTATTATAGATTTCCCTTATGGGAAATAGAAAAAACAAAATAATATATTAATTATAATAAAAATAAATTCCAGATCTAAAATCTAAAATTTTGATTAGAACTTTCACTATATTCCGTGAACATAAACATTTATTTAGCGGATTTTGATAAATTTTCTCTTCTATAATACGATTAAATAATAAAAAAAGAATATCGGAGCTTTCACCTCGTCAAAATCTTTCGAATTGTATATCGAGTAAGCCGGATGAATAATTGCACTACTTTTCCTTCTTTGCTATAAATATTCCGGAGATCAAGGTGAACGTACTTCTTTATATTTTAAAATGTCTTTAATTACACTGTGAGACCAAAGTAAAGCAACTTTTGTAATAAATAAAGCTAAATATTCATATACATATAAAATTAACTTAGTATCAGAGAAAATTAATAAGCATGTAGTTTAAAGAGACATAACAGGCTTGCTTTTACGAGTAAAATGGATGACAAATAACATAACATTATGTAAAAATTTATTTCAATACGCTAAATTGATGCGATAAAAGTAAAGCAACTTTTAAGAGAAAATATTTTAACATTGGAAAAACATTTTCTCAATAATTATTAGGATATCCCTCGCGATATCCACGAATATAACTTTTTCAGATTAAATTTTATACTGTAGTAATTGTCATATTCGTAAAAACTTCGTATATAAGTCAAGGCCTGATTATTTGAGAACCTTGTAACAGGATTCCTTGGATATCGTATTCCTGTTAGCTCTTTCCACAAGTTGTGGAAAGAGCTAACATCGATGGGGTTGTTGAATGGGTATGGGAGGGGGGTTAGTGACCGCGACCTTACAGATCTATTGTGTCTTCTTTTCTGGAGTTATAATGAGTTATTACTCATCATACAGTCTCATCTTAACAAAAACCAGTATATGAGACGGTTTTACAAAAGTTAGATCTCCGATATCAGTCGTATCAAATTTCATGACACGAATGTGATGAGGTATTTTGGTGTTTTACCATTTTCCCTACAGAATCTATATTCGCTGTTGTTTCTTAGCTTCAATCTACTGAGGTGTTCGTTGAGGAGACCGTGTCCAAACCAAACCAAAAACCCAATGACAATCTGACAAGACCAAGACCAGACAAGGTGAAAGATCAGGACATATAATCATATTATACAGGGTGTTCAAGAAATAAGTGCAAGTATTTTAACTAGTAGTATATTTCGGTCTCAGAAACACGCCTAAAAAACATAATTTCTTGATAATATGGCAACATATGTAGTAGATTAAATTTACATGAAAGAAAATCCAGAAAAGAACCAGTGGTTCTCAAAATTTAAGCAGAAAAGAATTTTTTATTAAATTTTCAAAGTAAAATAACTCGGTTATTTTGGACTTATTTGAAAAATGGTAAAGAGAAAAAATGTTTTTTTTGGCCAGATCTACCACTTCTTAAAATAGTTGCACTTATTTCTGGGACACTCTGTATAGTATGTTAAAAAAAACGGTGTCCAGTTGGTTTTGAAATGACGATCGATGATATTGCCCAAATATACATATAATATGACAGCGATCTTCATTCAAAATTTCATCAAACAAAAGATTTCAGTGATTGATTATACAGTGTTTATAAAAACGATATTATTAATTTTGACAAAAAAAATGACATACCCTCCTCCGTGTCCACCGGCGTCACAATATTCAAACAGGGCTAGGACCAAAATTGAAGCAACCTGCAAGTATTTGAAAAATAATGTAAAAATATATAATACTTAATATAATATACGATTTAAAAACGGCGTCAAAGACGGCTGGGGAATGATAATCGATGGTAATTTTGGCGAGGTCAAGCCATAGACATCATTTATTTGGTACTCTTCTTTATTTTTTAATGGCGGTTGCTGCCATTAAAATGTAAAAATAATGTCTATAATTAGAATTAATTTTTGACAAGTTTTATGTCAATTTTTAGTAAATGACGTCTAGAGTTTGATCTCAACAAAATTATCATTGATTGTCATTGCTCAGCCGTATTTGACACTGTTTTTTTTTTCGATCCTACGTAATATTATATTTATTTTAACATATAATATTTTTTTACTAAGCGAAAAAAAAACAAAGAAAATTTACTAATAAGTAAATATCAAGAACAAGAACGATAATATTAATATTAAAATAAAAAAGCCCCCCCCCCTATGTCTTTTTTAATTTATTCTACCATACATAACCAAAAAAAATGTGAACTAATTATATGGTAAACTTTAAAATTAGTCCCTTCAAAAAAGTCCTCTGGGTATTTCGCTACTTGCACTGTATGAAAAAAAAATAGAAAAATAAAATAGTTATTTTTTGTAAACACCGCGGCGCCGCGTCGCTGCTTTATGCCAACGGAGACCAACTTGTTACCGGTATTTTACCAATAAAACAAATTTGCCTAACAGACAAAAAATGCTTTACGTTTCTGGAGGTATCTGGAGGTATATCTCTTCTCGGTCGTCGGAAGCAAAAAAACCAAAGAACGTAGAAATAATTATTTAAAATATCCATATTCAAGAACACTCTAGTTTTTTTTTCTAAAGATGCGTCTACTAAAATCCGTTGACGTTCTGTTAAAATGTCATTATATCCAGTTAAACTTCAAAATTAAAAGAAAAAAAGAAAGATGTATTTATTTTTTTTTTTATTCTTTAATTCAAGGTGTTAAAAAATAACTATTTTATTTTGTAGATTTTGAATGAATCCGCCACAGAGGTATAGACATTTTTAAAATTAGTAAAAAGTTATTATTACATTTACTTTAGATTATTGCTGGAAAGGGGCTAAAGTTACTTTAATCAAATCTATAGTAGGTATAGAAAACTATTGTTACTTTATAGGAATAATTTCTTTAATATCATATGATGATATTTGTACGATTTAAAAGTTTATAAAATATAATAGTAGGTGTGATGTCGTTCTCTATGTAAAAACTCACCAAATGTCTAGAAGCCATGTTCAAAATGTGCTACGACCGACCGTCAAAAATGAATTACTTTGCACTAAATCCAAAGGAAATGTGATTATAGCACGCGGATCTCTCTATTTATATGCTACAAATTTGTATTCATAAATGAAAGGCAGAGATACATGCTTTCGAGATACATGCGAAGCGGGCATGAAAGCAGAAGAAAGAATAACCAGAGCGTTTACCTTGACAATGGTAACTAGATGTTTAATTGTCTTTATCCAAGGGTAGTTCAAAATATAAAAATTGCAAATAATAATGTTAATATTGAAAATTATAGTTATTTATACCGTGTGGTGGCATCAGAACGCGGGACATAGGGAATCCTATGTAAATTTTGAAAAGGTCAAATATTATCTCCCCAGATGATTTTATGCAAAAGTTGTATTATACATTTTTGAAGAGGTGTTAAAGTTGTACTTTTGCGTAGAATTTCGTTACATTTGAGATAGTCATCTAAAAGTTATTTGCAAAAATCTACCTTCAAATTAGGAAAATTTATAATACGCTCCAGAGAAAGTTACAATAATTAATACCAGCAAAAAATGTAATTGTGCCATTCTCAAATTTGATGTCACATTTTGTTTGCAAAAAGTTGAAGGTACTAAACAGAGTAATTTTGTATACTTAAAATAATTATGAATTTCGCAACTTCTGAAAAAGTTACGATGGTTAAACGGAATTTTGCTGGAAATAGTCTTCCCGCTGTGTTAAATAGGTAGGTACCTATATTTGCCTCTCAGTCTCCGGAAAGCCTATACCGAATAAGTCAGCAGTTTAAAGAATAAACCGGAGATTTGAAACAAAACGCACTAAGATATTAAGCACATGGAAGCGTGAAGGTAAAAATAATTGAACAGGAAGAAAATAACAATGACTTGAATATTCTTCATGTCGAAGAAAAGAAAAACATTGACTCCCGTTTATTGGAGATACAGTAGGAAAAGACCACAGGATCTCTCGCCGAACGACTTCTTCCTTTGGAGCACACTCAAAAACCGTTTTTATGGACATATTAAATTAGAGTTGAGGGTTGGAACCTTTGGTGTTACACAGCAAAATAAAAACCCTAAATCACCACAATACACCAAAACACTTTTACTTTTACACTGGACGCGCGTTTCGCTAACCATGTTAGCATCATCAGCAGATGATTATAAAGTGACTCAGTTTATAATCATCTGCTGATGATGCTAACATGGGTAGCGAAAGGCGCGTCCAGTGTAAAAGTAAAAGTGTTTTGGTGTATTGTGGTGATTTAGTGTTTTTATTTTGCGACATATTAAATACAGAAAAATATAGATAGACTGAAAACGACACCTCTGTGGAATCCTAAAGATTAACAGTTTTGTATTGTGAGGCGTGAATTATAACAATCATATTGTTTGGCTGTTCATTAATTAGTATAATTTAATAAAGTTCCTTTATTTACAAATATTTCTTTTATTTGTTAAATTATTGTGGATGGTATGTGGAATGAGCGAGGCTTGCGAGTGATCGAGTAATGAACAGCAATCAAGTCATACACCGCCAGTGCCGCATCTAGAGATTGAGTCTGGGAGGGGTAGTGTGAATATTCAAAAAGTACTAAATTTGAATTAAATTTTTGCTGGAAGGTATTGTAACTGTGGAAAAAAATCTACTTGGATTGGTTTGGATATTCTGTTTTAATTTGTATTATTAACTTTTTTGTAACAATTTTATTTTATACCAAATTTTATCTTATTAATTAATTTCTTTCTGGGAGGGGTAATTACACCCATTACGCCTCCCGTATATACGCCCCTGTATAGAGCTTGTTTCTCTCTACAATTTCCTGTTTCACAATGTACCTTTTGAGTCCGGCAAGGGATCATAGTTTCATAGTTGTCGATTTTCGAAAGAAATCAGTACATGTATATTATTTTGTATATTGTTCATTTTATTGATTTTATGGAAAGCACTGTTCATTAAAATGTTGTATCCTATGTTATAGGGCTTGTTTCTCTCTATACAATTTCCTGTCTCACAATGTACCGTTTGTGTCCGGGAAGGGATCATAGTTTCATAGTTGTCGATTTTCGAAAGAAATCAGTACATGTGTATTATTTTGTATATTTTTCATTTTATTGATTTTATGGAAAGCACTGTTCATTAAAATGTTGTATCCTATGTTATAGGGCTTGTTTCTCTCTACAATTTCCTGTCTCACAATGTACCGTTTGTGTCGGGGAAGGGATCATAGTTTCATAGTTGTCGATTTTCAAAAGAAATCAGTACATGTATATTATTTTGTATATTTTTCATTTTATTGATCTTATGGAAAGCACTGTTCATTAAAATGTTATAGGGCTTGTTTCTTTCTACAATTTCCTGTTTCACAATGTACCGTTTGTGTCCGGGAAGAGTTAATAGTTTCATAGTTGTCGATTTTCGAAAGAAATCAGTACATACCTAATTATTTCGTATATTTTTCATTTTATCGATTTTATGGAAAGGACTGTTCATTAAAATGTTGTATCCTATGTTATAGGGCTTGTTTCTCTCTACAATTTCCTGTCTCACAATGTACCGTTTGTGTACGGGAAGGGTTCATATTTTCATAGTTGTCGATTTTCGAAAGAAATCAGTACATGTATATTATTTCGTATATTTTTCATTTTATCGATTTTATGGAAAGCACTGTTCATTGAAATGTTTTATCCTATGTTATAGGACTTGTTTCTTTCTACAATTTCCTGTCTCACAATGTACCGTTTGTGTCCGGGAAGGGTTCATAGTTTCATAGTTGTCGATTTCAGAAATCAGTACATGTATATTATTTCGTATATTTTGTATTTTATTGATGTTATGGAAAGCACTGTTCATTAAAATGTTGTATCCTATGTTATAGGGCTTGTTTCTCTACTATTTCCTGTCTCACAATGTACCGTTTGTGTCGGGGAAGGGATCATAGTTTCATAGTTGTCGATTTTCAAAAGAAATCAGTACATGTATATTATTTTGTATATTTTTCATTTTATTGATTTTATGGAAAGCACTGTTCATTAAAATGTTATATCCTATGTTATAGGGCTTGTTTCTTTCTACAATTTCCTGTTTCACAATGTACCGTTTGTGTTCGGGAAGAGTTAATAGTTTCATAGTTGTCGATTTTCGAAAGAAATCAGTACATACCTAATTATTTCGTATATTTTTCATTTTATCGATTTTATGGAAAGGACTGTTCATTAAAATGTTGTATCCTATGTTATAGGGCTTGTTTCTCTCTACAATTTCCTGTCTCACAATGTACCGTTTGTGTCCGGGGAAGGGTTCATATTTTCATAGTTGTCGATTTTCGAAAGAAATAATTAAAATAAATTATTTCTTTCTATTTTTTCATTTTATCGATTTTATGGAAAGCACTGTTCATTGAAATGTTTTATCCTATGTTATAGGACTTGTTTCTTTCTACAATTTCCTGTCTCACAATGTACCGTTTGTGTCCGGGAAGGGTTCATAGTTTCATAGTTGTCGATTTCAGAAATCAGTACATGTATATTATTTCGTATATTTTTCATTTTATTGATTTTATGGAAAGCACTGTTCATTAAAATGTTGTATCCTATGTTATAGGGCTTGTTTCTCTCTACAATTTCCTGTCTCACAATGTACCGTTTGTGTCGGGGAAGGGATCATAGTTTCATAGTTGTCGATTTTCAAAAGAAATCAGTACATGTATATTATTTTGTATATTTTTCATTTTATTGATTTTATGGAAAGCACTGTTCATTAAAATGTTATATCCTATGTTATAGGGCTTGTTTCTTTCTACAATTTCCTGTTTCACAATGTACCGTTTGTGTCGGGAAGAGTTAATAGTTTCAGTTGTCGATTTTCGAAGAAGAAATCAGTACATACCTAATTATTTCGTATTTTCATTTTATCGATTTTATGGAAAGGACTGTTCATTAAAATGTTGTATCCTATGTTATAGGGCTTGTTTCTCTCTACAATTTCCTGTCTCACAATGTACCGTTTGTGTCCGGGAAGGGTTCATAGTTTCATAGTTGTCAATTTTCGAAAGAAATAATTAAAATAAATTAATTTCTTTCTGGGAGCGGTAATTACCCCCATTACCCCTCCCGTATATGCGCCACTGTACACCGCGAATAGTATTCTCAGTTCAACCAATTCTTGTGTAGATAAATAATCAGTTCAATTCAGATAAAATTAACCACGTTTTACAAACCACAGAAATTCTTGCAAACAAAAAAAAAATGACATCGAATTTGACAATGACAAAGTCATATTTTTGCTGGTATTTTAATTATTATAGCTCTCTGGGCCGTATTATAAATTTTTAGAGATTAGAGGGTAGATTTTTGCAAATAGCTTTTAGATGCCTATTCCAGATAAAACAAAACTTTAGACGACAGTACAACTTTAATGCTTCTTCAAAAAAGTCTAATACAATTTTTGCATAAAATCATCTGGGGAGATAATAATTAACCTTTTCAAAATTTACATGGAATTTTCTATATCCCGCTTTCAGGTGCACCACACGGTATAGTAAGGGAATTAAAAGGGTATTAATTACCCAGGGCAAAATTTCTGTCCCCAGGGCCTATAGCCCGACGGACAATAATTGCCCGAGGTTACATAGAAAATTTTATTTCTTACAGAATTTTTAGTATATTATTGTGTTCCATTTTAAGCTGGGATGTCAATGGAATGTTCTTCTGGAATGTTATTTTGAAATTGTATTATACATGACATTAATGATATAAATAAATAATAAGAGTCAAATTTAAAGTAGGTATTATATATTTTTTATTTTTAAATCTATTTTCCTGATTTTTTAGCAAACTGTATATAAATATATTAACTTCAATTTCTAAAGTCAGACTTTTTTTATTAACATTATTTTTCGGTCAGAACCATGTCTGCTGCTGAGCATTTTGTTTTTTGTTTCATGTCAAGAAATGCCTTAGCTAATTTTTAAGAGCGAAATGAACTTGCTAATAATGTGCATAAGGCTAACATAGTTAGCGAAACACGCGTCTAGTGCCAAAGTAAAGTATTTTGTGGTA